AAAGGAATACAGGCAGTTCCAGAGTTATGAACGTTTGAGTTATGAACAACCCATACTTATGAATGAACTGCCATAAAGTCTATCATTTTAAAAAAATATATAGCAGAAAATTGTCATCATCGTAGAGGTGGAAGCAAAAGTGGGGAGGGGGGGAGAACCTCCAAAATATGCCTTCCTGCCCCACCCACCCAGAGAAGGAAATCTTTTTGACTTTATCTTTGCCGAAAAGAGGAGGTACTGGTGAATTTGGGCAGGGGGTGGCCTAGAGATATTTATGGTTTTTCCACTTTCACAGGGTTCCTGTGCCACTGGCCCTGTGAGGGTGGAAGGCTGGCTATATGGGAACTGGCTTACATATAAATTTGATTTAAAGACAAATTTTCATTTGCTCAGGAATGAAATTCATTAACCCGGGGACTGCCTGTATATTGAATAAATGGATCCATATTTAGGGTATCTAGATTTAGGAAAATGAAAGGTAGAAGAACCTACATGGAGTGCCTCCCACAATGTGGTGATAGTAATGGTGGGATGTCCCAGTGAAGGAGGATCATCCAGAAATAGTTTATTTGCATTTCATTGGAATACTGATGCGCCCTCTTTGATCTCCAATATACTACTGATTTTTGTGATGGATTACAGCATGAAAGAATGATGAAGGAGCTGGACATGGCTAGAGGAAAGAAGAAAGGCAGGGATATGTTGAAAGCTTTCATATATTTAAAAGCTTACAAATGAGGATGAGCGAAAAGCAATGAGCATAAGTTACATTAGAGGAAACATGAGTTGTTGTCCAAAGAAGCTGAGGAATTTCTTTCCTTTGCAGATTTTCAAGGAAAATCAGTACATGCTACAAAATATTTTAAAAACGCTGTTTCAGGGCAGAATTTTAGATTAAATTATCTGTAGTTTCTTGTCTGATACTATGGTTTTAAGAAGTAAAAAGCAGAGTAATTTAGCTTCCTTTTTTTATGGAGGACAGACATGGAGGAAACTTCAATTGGTCTCTCTTCTTTCATATATATTTAACTAGGAATGTATGAAACAGGAGTTAACCAATTGTTTATAAAGCTGCTAATTCCTTTCACAAGATCCATCACTCAGTTACAACTGTCAAACAGCTTATCCATGATATTGATAAGAAACATTATTTATTCCTGTTTATTCCCCCAATGCCACTTTCAGCAATTTCTTACTCATTAATAGGTACATACTTCAAATATTTGTAAACTCCCATGTTCTTACATTTGTTAATCATCATTCAACCACAGTATATATTTAGCACTTAGAAATATTCCTGGTTAAAACAATCTGTTGAGCTTTTTCTCAGTTGCTGTTACTCTTCTTGCAAAATCCCATAAACTGTCAATAGTTTTCAATTAAGAAGAATGCCTTCTGGGTTTCTGTTGCTGCTGTTGTTCTTTTTCTATATATGTACTGCATTCTCTTTCAATGAATCAAGGATCATAGCAAATTGTGGTTTAGTTGACATATGTTTTAGAAAAAAATCTGTAGACATTTCCAGGCATTCTCACCTCCAAAGTCTTATGAAACATAAAAATTTAGTATTTGGAACATGGCCAGTACAGCCTCCTGTGGGTCCTCAATATGTTGTTGCTGATGGGTTGCTCCCCCACTGAATTTTGATGCCCTGTGAGCTACTGTCACTTGCCCTGTCACTCAACCCCTCCATGGACAGACCAGATGTATTTGCTGGACATATGGCAGCAGTTTTGAGTAGGAGCTAATCCAAACGCTTTAACGACTGAGCTCCCATTCAGAAGGGCTACCTAACTGTGGGGGGAACTTGGTGTATGTGAGAGTGGCTGCTTTGGCAGCTTGCATTGGTAGCAAGAAGCAGCAAATTTCAGCAGTGCCACAGCAATAATTGGAGCAGTCATGGTAGGCTCAATGATTTGCAAGGTTGGGGATGAGTTCTGCTGAACCCTTGGCAGCTGCCTGATTGTGTTGACCTCTAATAATCGCCTTAATTTGAGGCAGAAATCAGTATCTCAAAAATGATCACTTCCTTTCTTTTTCCCTAATAAAAATTAATAAGTTGCTATTCCTCATGCTGTAATGTGTGGACATTGTCTGGAGACACTTCCAAACCCAGCAGGGAACTTAGGAGGGTTTTCAGGAGGCAGAACAATGGTCATCCACAGTTCCTTCATGTCTCTTCCCCTACCACTCCCAGCACATGACTAGTAGAAGCAGGAAAAAAATAAAGGATTGAAATATGCTTAACCTGCATAAATTGTTTTGTATTCTAATAGAGAACCTTGGCAGAAAATACTATTTTTAAATTTCAGTGAAGTGTACACATAACCCTAAGGACACCCTTCTTCAATAGCCATGGGGGTGTGGGATAATTTGCTTAAAATATATAGCCATATCATGATAAGAAAAGTTAAACAACTGAGGGTGCAATCCTATGCATATTTAGACATGAAAGAGTCCTGCAGCTCCCCTGCATTCCCCAGCCAGGCATGCCTAAACGTGCACCTTAACTTACTTTCCCATGGGCAAGCAATTTTGTTTGTTCAGCTGCTAAAATGTTCAATTTGTCTGATACAACATAATGCTTTCATTTGGTTGTAAAAGAAAAAAATGTTGATTACAAAGATGGATCACAATGTGTTGGACAGTCTTCATATCTAGATACGGTATCAGAGGATGAATTTACTTTGACTTTAAACCTCAACTGAGCAGCAATTGATGTAGAAGTCAAGCCAAATATTCCTGCTTTATTTTCCCTTACATCCTTGATTGTCTCAAAACATAACCCTTCATTCATGAAAACGGCAACTCTGACTGCAGGTTTCTGTCCTCCAGATAGGCAAATACTTAATGCAGAGAAACCACAAACTCAGCAAAGATGAAGACCAGGCTCTTTTCCATAGCAACCTGACCAAACAAGTATAAAGATCAAGCGTGAACAGGAGTCAAAGAGCTGCTCAGACTAGTAGCTTATAACTACAATACAAATCAAGTCTTCACAGTGGCAGCAGAAGAATTAAGAGAAACAAGTAAAAAAGTATCATGCCGAACCCTTCTAACACTGTATTACTGCATTACATTTCATAAACTATAGCCTGCAGGGCACTGGTGGTATGTTGCCTGACCATGCTGAAAATAATAGAGAAAAATGCCAGAGGCCTTTTCTAGACCAAACAGTTACGAATGATGTATTAAAATGCCATACTTTTCCCGACCTCATGCAGCACAGTGTCGTACATGTGCACTCTGATGAGGTTCCCAGGCACACACAAGAAATAGCCTCTTTTAGTGGGACTGATAGCTCAGACTCTGAGGATGATGTGCAGTTGCCTGAAGCAGGTGAGGCTCAGAGCTCACACTCTAATAATGGAATTATTAAAACAGTCAGGCCTACACCTGCGGACTCCCTCCGGCAGTACCAGTCTGAGCCTGCTCTGGATGAAGTAGCTCAAGGACACCCAGGGGGCCAGGTCTCCCTCCCACTGGTGGGAATGGAGTAGATGAAGGATGGGAGGGAGATTTGGAATTGGGTAGTCTCTCAGATGGAGAATGCCAACCTCCTGAAGACATGGACCTGAGGACCCGTCAGCACAGTTGCATGAGGGACCATTTAGGGGCTCAGAGTGCAGAATGGAGGCACACTCAATTTCACAGTACCCCTCCTTCCAGAGACAGGTCCCAAAGAGTACATAAGCAAACCTTTGGGTGAAGAGGGGAAGAGAGGGCTCAACACATTTGTTGTGTATGCTCAGAGGCTTGTGAAAGCTTAGAGTTTTCTATGTAGAATAAAGTCACTTACAAGAGGTACTGGAGGGACTGTCTAGCTTTAGAGGGAACACCTAACTCACGATACACAGAGGTGAAGAGAAAGAGAAAGCACTGATAGATATGACTATGTTTGAATGTGTTCCATGTTTGTGAGACTTTTAGCAATCAAGATAATGACGGATTATTCAGGGCTAATTTGAGTCCCCTGCACAACCCATAAGACAACAGCCCAGTTTAAAAATAAGAAAATCCAAACAGTCCACAAAGAACAAGCAAACCAGAATGGTCTTCAACACAATAATGTTTAAGAATCATTATATTACAGAAAGAGGAAAGAGATCATATGACATGTGAAAATCTCAGTTGTGGTTAGAACTGTGATTCAACTTTGTTCACAGAACTCAAATTCAGCATTATGCTTCATAATAAAGGTAGTTAAGGAACAGGAGGAGGAGGGTGCTTTTGTACTGGCATCTTGTTTGTAGGTATCCAAGTGACCACTGCAGGAACAGAATGCTGGACTAGATAAACTTTAGCCTTCTCCAAAAGGACTTTCTTATATTTTAAAATTATAAGAAGCAAAGATATTCCACATTCAGAAAACATCTGCCTTGATTGTACATATCAGAACATGGAGAACATTCTACACTGAAGCTATAAAACACTTTGAATCAAGCATATATGTAGTACTCCATATTTAGAAAGCATTTAAAACCATAACAAAAGTAACAGATCTAGTGTGTTAATATAGGCTTTCAAAATCTGAAGAAAACTTTCATTAAAAAATCTGTAGAAAAACAAAGGAAATTTTCATAATTCAAGCAAAGCATTGTTGGACAGTTCATCCAAAGCAACAGACCACTTTGGAAACCACAGGTTGAAATCGGGCAGGTACAAATAGCAGTTTTCTGGTTGGATTTATCAAACCATTTACAAACTATGGTTTGCCTAATTAGGAAACAACCTATTTACTCTGGGCATATGCAGTAACCCTCTTTTTTCATAATAACAAATGCTCATGGAATGCATTGGTTTTAACTATTTAACCTATAACCCCTTATTACTTAAGTTGTAAACTTATTTAATATTGCTTCCCTCAAATTGCAATATGAATGCCCCCTTTTCATAGGAAGCAAGACTAGAAAATGTAACTGAAAGGCTACTGTGAAGTTCAGTTACTTCCCATTTTAGCTCAAACAGTATATTTTACATAGGTCGCACAATTAACTTACAGTGGCTTCTGAATGGTATCACTCTTCAGGTAATTCACTCCAAGCTTTGGACCTAGTGAAGACATTCATTGGGACAGAGAATGAAGATAAAGCTGTTCCCGTACTGGAAAGAAACAAAATGAAACATGAAGGAGTTGTCCATAACTGCTCTGGAGTCATGATGAACAGTTTGCTGATGACACCACATTATTCTGAATGGTAAATTATAAAGATGACTATGAAAAGTCTCTCCAAATTGTGTGACTGGGTTACTGAAGGACTAAGACTTAACATGAGGATGAAATGGTATATTTTATGACAGAACATTCCTAAATTCACATATACACTGTTGTTGTTATGTGCTGTCAAATCATCTCTGAGTTATGGCAAATGAACAACGAATGCCTTCCAAAATGTTTTGTCCTTGACAGCCCTGCTCAGCTCTTGTAATATAGACTGATAAGTTTCAATGTGGTTATGGCTTACCAGAAAAGAGACCTCATTGGGTCTTAGTGGAAAGCTCAAAGAAAATGTCAGTTCAGAGGGCTGTGACAGGGAAAAGGGCAAAATCGATGCTTTGAATTATTAAGTAAAGAATTGCAAATAGGAAAAGCAAAGATATTAATACTATTGTATATATCTATGGTGAGGCCACATGTAAGAGTATAGTCTGTAGTTCTGATCACCCCACCTCCAGATTACTATCACAGAGCAAGAGAAGGGACAGAAGTGGGGAACTGAAATGATGACAGTTAAAGAATTTTTCTTAGGAAATGCTAAAAAGATTGCTGTTTGCATGCATGTGGGAGAGAGGAAAAATAGTCAATTAAAATATGATGACTCAAATGAATAAATTATAAATATACAATGACTTGCAAAATACAAATGTCACTGCAAATGCAGGTACATGTTCCTGACAGTTACTGGAAATCTGACCAAAAGTAATTTGAGTGTTTGAAGAAACAGTGGAACTGATTACAATGTTCTGTCCCATGTATGACTTGGATTGATGAGCTTATCCCATCTATGATGGTATCCTTGGTTTTGTCCATTAGATGTTGAGAGGTTATATTTTGAACATGTTCTAAAAATCATAGCACCTTATTATTTTTACATCTGTGTATGTTTGTTGTAATTCTTAGGGTCATATACAGGAATTAATAAAATCAATTCAGAGAAAATGAACTGTTCCTTCATTCAGCATATAATGAATGTATACATTAATATGCTATGTGATTGACCCCTGTTAGCCTATTTATTATAGCTAAAGCTCTCTGGAAGGTTAAATATAACTTTAAATAAAGCAGGCATATTCACAGAAGGCAGGCTTATGCATAGCTATTGCAACATCCCGTTTCAGCTTCCACAGTCAGTTGCAGCAAACCTTTAAAAATCAGATAGTATGAACACACACATAGGATGAAGATCCTTAAAACAAGATCCCTGCTTGAGAATTTCCCATAAGTATTAGTTTGGTTATGGCTAGAAACAAAATGCTGACCTCAGAAACTCTATGATCCAATGAAGGGATTCTTGTCATTTAAAATATGACTATTTAAAATAATACAAATACAAATGCTCTCATTTGAGTATTAGTTTATGGAATCTCATTAGATTTTGATGTACAAGCACATCAAGACTTGCCAGCTAATAATCAGTACCAGAATGTCTTTAACTAAAATTTTAGTGAGAATGATGTAGGGGGTATTTAGGTTAGGTGAACATATCCTAAGTTTTAGAATATGTTGTTACTTTTCACATATTAGTTGAAATAAATTCCTTAGGATCTTAAATGAAGGCTATTTTGACAGTAATAATGCCTTACAAGTATTCGAAATGCCAAGAAATAATGTTAGTAAGTACTGTAGAAACAGTTGCTAACAAAGATGTCAAATATTTATACAAAATATCCACATAAAATTTCTGATCAGGAAGAAGTGCATGAAGTAATTATCTGATTCAGTACCTGGTATTTCCATGTACGGCTGGAAAAATTCTGCCTGATACCTTCAAGAGCCACTGCCCGTCAGTGGCTGGGTTCAGATAATATGATGACCCACACTCTAGAGATGAATATTGGTTAAGTGTGGGTTGTAGTTTAACCAAGAGTTGTTGTTGAGCCATAGGTTTCTGTATTATTTGAAGTCAGCTGTACTAACAAATAATGATTTGTTAACTATGAGCAGCTTCTGTATAGCCCGAAGTGCCTGTTCCTGCCTATGCTGTGGTGGTGAGAGCGGCAAAGAAGAAATTCTTCTCCGCTTCCATTGCCTCCTCAAAATGCCGTCCGGCGGAGCTCTTTCAGGTGGTACAGGGGCTGGTTCATCCAGGCCCAAAAAAAAGATCACGTGCCACCCTCGACGGCCCGCTGTGACGACTTCGCCAAGCATTTCAAGGAGAAAATTGCTCAGATTCCTCACGAGCTGGACTCCACTAGTGACTCAGAACCATCGGGGGAGGTGCCAATGTTGCTGTCTGGTCCACAATTGATGGATGAATTTCAGTTGCTGTGGCCTGATGATGTGGACAAGGTGCTTGGACAAGTACGTCCTACCACCTGCTTACTGGACCCTTGCCCATCTTGGCTACTCAAGAAAGCCAAGGACGGGATAGGGACCTGGATCTTGGAGGTTGTCAACGCCTCTCTAAGGGACGGCCGGGTACCTGCCCCTTTAAAGGAGGCGGTAGTCCAGCCAGTCCTAAAGAAGGCATCCCTGGATCCAGAGATGGCCGCCAATTATAGACCGGTGGCCAACATCCCGTTCTTGGGCAAGGTGTTAGAGTGAGTGGTGGTGGGACAACTCCAAGCACTCTTGGATGAAACTGATTATCTGGACCCATTTCAGTCCGGCTTCAGACCCGGGCATGGTACTGAATCTGCCTTGGTCACCCTGTATGATGAGCTGTGCAGGGAGAAAGACAGGGGGAGTGCGTCCCTGTTGGTCCTCCTGGACCTCTCAGCAGCTTTCAATACCATCGACCATGCCATGGTATTCTTCTGGATAGGCTAGCGGGATTGGGAGTTGGAGGCACTGTTCTGCAGTGGTTCCGCTCCTATCTCAATGACCGATTCCAGAAGGTGATGCTGGGGGACTATGGCTCTGCGCCATGGCAGTTATGCCATGGAGTTCTGCAGGGATCCATTTTGTCCCCCTTGCTATTCAACATCTACATGAAACTGCTGGGAGAGGTCATTAGGAGGTGTGGGCTGTGGAATCATCAGTATGCTGATGATACCCAGCTCTACCTCTCGTTTTCAACCAATCCAGCTGAGGCAGTGGCTGTACTGAACTGGTGCCTGGCCAAGGTAATGGGCTGGATGAGGGCCAATAAACTGAAGTTCAATCCAGAGAAGATGGAGGTCCTGTTGGTAGGTGGTTCGGGCTTCGGGGTGGGGGACCTGGACCTTGTCCTGAATGGGGTTGCACTCCCTCTTAGGGACAAGGTTCGCAGCTTGGGAGTGCTCCTCGACCCTGAGCTGTCATTAGAAGCTCAGGTGACAGCGGTGGCGAGGAGCGCTTTCCTTCAGCTTCCGCTGATCCATCAGCTGCGTCCCTACCTGGAGAACGATTGCCTGGCAATAGTGACACATGCACTGGTAACTTCCTGATTAGACTTCTGTAACATGCTCTACGTGGGGCTGCCCTTGAAGATGGTCCGGATACTTCAATTGGTGCAAAACAGAGCTGCCAGGTTGTTGACGGGGACTGGGCATTGTTCTCATATAACCCCAGTTCTCCGTCAGCTCCACTGGCTCCCCATTGAAGTCCGGGCCCAATTCAAGGTATTGGTTATGACCTATAAAGCCCTCAACGGCTTGGGAACTGGTTATCTAAAGGAACGCTTGCATCCATATATTCCCTCTGGTTACCTAAAGGAGCATGTGCCCGCCCGCTGCTTGAGATCAGCCTCCGTGAAAGTTATTAGGAAGGTGAGTACCCAGAGGAGGGCCTTCTCTGCGGTGGCCCCCCACCTATGGAATGCACTCCTCAGAGAGGTCCGCCTGGCGCCGTCGTTATTCGTTTTTCAGCGCCAGGCCAAGACCTTTTTATTTAAAAGTTATTTTAATTTTTAATTTATGAATTGTATTTATGGGGTTTTTATGTACATGCCAAGATGTTTCTGGTTTTTTAACTCTAATTGTATAAACTTTTTATTTATGTTTATTTATTATTGTTGTAAGCCGCCCCGAGGCTTTTTGCGAATGGGGTGGCATAAAAATGGTTTAAATAAATAAATAAATAAATACATAATCTGGGAAGCTAAGGAGGGATGGGCCTGGTTGAAATCTGGATGGATGACTTAAAATGATGCGAACCACCCAGAGAGCTTTGGCTATGGGCAATATAGAAATGTAATATAACAACCACCACCACAACCCATAGTTAGCCTATTTATTATATTTATAGGAAAGGGTGCAGTTTGGGAGTATTTCTCATCGCAGAGTTCTCTCTGGAGTCGCAGGTGGCAGCAGTGGCGAGAAGCACTTTCCTTCAGCTTTGGCTGATCCATCAACTGTGCCCTTACCTAGATAAGCAATGCCTAGCAACGGTGATCCATGCTCTAGTAACTTCCTGACTGGATTGTTGGAATGTGCTCTACCTGGGGCTGCCCTTGAAGATTGTCTGGATACTTCAGTTGGTTCAGAATAGAGCTGACGGGACATTCACACGTAATGCTGGTCCTCTGTTGTTTACACTGGCTGCCAATTGAAGTCCAGGCCCTATAAAGGTGCTGGTGATGACCTATAAAGCCCTAAATATCTTGGGCCATGAATATCTGAAGGAGTGCCTCCTTCCCTATGTGCCCTCCCACCCCTTGAGATCTGAGGTGGAGGTCCTGCTCCAGGAGCCCTCCTTGAAGGAGATCAGGAGGGTGGCTACCCAGAGAAGGGCCTTCTTGGCAGTGGCATCCCATCTATGGAATATGCTCCGCAGAGAGGTTTTCCTAGCACCAACGATTTATTGGCGTCAGGTGAAACCTTTTTATTTTCCCATTATTTTAATGTCAAATTGGCTTTAATCTGGGTTTTATTATATTGGGTTTTGCTTTATTTCATTGTTTGTTTCATTTCATTTTATTTGTTGCTCTTGTTGTAAGCTGCCCTGAGATGTCAGTGGTGGA